CCTGTCTCTACTAAAAAATACAAAAAACTAGCTGGGCGAGGTGGCGGGCACCTGTAGTCGCAGCTACATGGGAGGCTGAGGCAGGAGAATGGCATAACCCTGGGAGGCAGAGCTTGCAGTGAGCTGAGATCCAGCCACTGCACTCCAGCCCAGGCGACAGAGCAAGACTTCATCTCAAAAAAAAAAAAAAAAAAAAATACTTGAAGTATCGAAGAAACTATACCTCTTTCCCTGCTACCTGGTTCAAGAAATAGTGCCTGAGATTTTTTAAAAAAATAGAAAGTTATCCTAATAAATATAATTGTTGTGAACAGATACGCTGCATTATCTAATACAGTTTTCATGACCAGCTCCATTTTACAGATAAGAAAACACATGGAAGCACAGAGATTGCAGTAGCTTGCTTGTGATCACACAGCTAAGAAATAGCCTGAGGGCCCATGCCCTCTGATGTGGAGTCACCACATCAGACTGACTCCAGAGGGCACTGCTGTTTCAGAGCCAGCACCAAATGAAAAGACAGAAGATGTTTTTGAGCAAATAAATGCAGTGTGTGTGGGTTGGGTGAGTTTTCCAAAGGTTACCTTTGCAGTTTTGGAATGCAAGATCACATTAGAAAGCTAGTGAAACCTGGAGAAAAACACTCAACAAACCGTGACTCTGCAGAACAATCTTGTGACATCTAGAGAGCTCTGTGCCCACTAGCACAGAATGTGAAGTAAGTGCACACAGGATTAAGCAAAATCACAGCAGGTTGGCTCTTGCACATTGCGCTGTCAGTGGACACTATTAATGAGCCCTTGGTGATTTGAAAATAGAGCCATACCAGAGGCATATGAACTGTGCATGGACTAAGTTTTTTCTTCTGTCTCCCCTATTGAGTTCTAACCTTGTGGTGTGTGAAGATGTCTCTGGTGTCTGCCTCTATTAGTGGGACCAGTGTGTGTGAGGGAAGCTTGTTGAGCCTCTGCATGATTTTTAAACCCCACTGAGCTGTCACCTTTGAGGAGGAAAAACATCCAGCATAGTGTTCCCAAAGTGTGAGGAGCCCCAGTGTGTGTGGCGGGTGGGTGATGCATGTGGAGATGGTGGTAAGGCACAGGAAGAGCTTCAAGGGTGACAACAAATAAAGTCAAACAAAGAATACACAATGTGTTTCAGGGAGAACACTTGGATTTACCAAGTAGCAGAAGTGGGAGCAGACCAGGAAGTATATCTTAAGGACCTGAGGCCAGGAGCAACCTGTGATCCCTGTGGTTGAAGGGAGCAGCAGGAACAGTTCTGTGGGCAGGGCTACAACAACAATACCCCATGTATGATGCAAGGACCTCCATGTAGGAAGGGCCTTTTCTGAGCTTTGGTTACCTGGGAATCCAAAAACCATTCTCCTCTTGTTTCTCAAGTGTAAAACTCATTTTGAAAAAGCAGCCATACAAAGTTGTATTTATTTTATTTTATTTTATTTTTTTGCCTCTTTGAGCTAAATTTATGTACTTTGGAATTACTAAAATAGGGGATGTCATGCTGGGATTGATCCATTCTGCAAGCCAAATACTCATTTTTCAGAGTTTCTTTGGCCTAAAATTCTATTAAAATCCAAGGATGAAAGAGGACTTGGAAAAATTATGGCCCTCAAAGAAATTTTCTGTCTGGTGAGGGAGACAGAGACGTGTACCATCAACTGTGGTACAAGGTAGACTTCAGTGAGAGCTGTGATCAAAGTACAGGGAATAACAAGAAAAGAGGCAGTAAGATTAACTCTTGCTCAAGGGATTTGAGAACGTTGTTTTCTTATCTCTGTTTCATTTCTTCATTCTTTTCCTCCAACTGCCTAAATGTGGATGTTCCAAAATTCTGCCTTTTCTTTCTTGTGTATTGACTCTGGTGGGAATCCTGACTATTCTCCTGGCTTCTCTTTTGGTCTCTTTGCTTTTTAAAATTTTTTATTGTGGTAAATAACGTATAATGTGAGATCTACCCTCCTGAAAGTTGTAAGTGTCTGGGAAAGTATTGTTAACTGTAAGCACAGTTGTATAGCAGATCTCTAGAACTTTTTCATCTTGCATGAATGAAATTCTGTACCCGTTGAATGGCAACTCTCTGTCTCCCGCTTTCTCCTGCGCCTGGTAACCATCGTTCTGCTTTCCGTTTCTAAGATTTTGACTACTCTAGATAGCACATGTAAGTGGCATCATAAAGTATTTGTCTTTTTGTGACCGACTGATTTCACTTGGCATAATATCCTTCGGGCTCATCCATGGGTTACATACTGCAGAATTTCCTTCTTTAATATGGCTGAATAATATTGATTGAATATATGTACCACATTTTGTTTGTTTGTTCATCCATCGATGCATACTTAGGTTGTTTCCATATGTTGGCTCTTGGGAATAATGGTGCAGTGAACGTGGGAGTGCAAATATCTCTTCAAGACCCTGACTTGCAATCCTTTTGGATAGATACCCAGAAGTGGGAATGCTGAGCCATATGGTAGTTCCGCTTTTAATTTGTTGAGGAACCCGTATACTCTTTTCTTTAATGGGTGCATTATTTTACATCCCCACCAGCAGTGTACAAGGGTTCTAATTTCTCCACATCCTTGCCAACATTTGTGGTTTTCTATTTTTTGGATATTGGACATCCTCGTGAGTGTGGGGTGATGTTTCATTGAAGATTTTATTTGTATTTCCCTGATGATCAGTGATGTTGAGTATATTTTCATATGCCTGTTGGCCATTTGTATGTCTTCTTTGGACAAATGTATGTTTAAGTCTTTTTTGTTTTTGAGACAGAGTCTCACTCTGTCGCCCAGGCTGGAGTTCTGTGGTGCGATAGCTCTACCTCCCGGGTTCATGCCATTTTCCTGCCTCAGTCTCCTGAGTAGCTGGGACTATAGGCACCTGCCACCACGCCTGGCTAATATTTTGTATTTTTAGTAGAGACGGGATTTCACCGTGTTAGCCAGGATGATCTCTATCTCCTGACCTCATGATCCACCCGCCTCGGCCTCCCAGAGTGCTGGGATTACAAGCATGAGCCACCGTGCCCAGCCTGTTTAAGTCTTTTGCCCAGTTTTTAATTGGGTTATTTGGTTTTTTGCTATTGTGTTCTAGGGGGTCTCTGTGCCTTTGACCCCAAATCTCCATGCCTGTACCTGGTGAACTCTACATTCATGTCTTCTGCTGCTCCTCAGCTTGATCCTTCTGTCCCAGCAAGTAAACTGCTCCCCACTTCCTACTCCCTCACTCGGCTCTTGCCACCCTTCTTTTGGTTTCTGAAAGATATTTAGACCTAACTCTGACACATCTTAAAAATCCAGGTCAAGTTGAGTTTTCCATGAATTCTTCCCTGACCACCCAGCGTTTGCTCTCCTGCTGCTGAGGTCTCTAGGACTTGTCTCTGTTGCTTTTGAGGCATTTGGCAGAGACTGCTGCTGTGCATTGGAATGGATATTACATGTGGATATATTTTGTACTAACTGAACTGCCACCTCATGAAGGGAAGAGACTGTGTGTCCTCCAGAGGACCTTACAGAGCACGTTGTCATACTGTAAAGAGGCAGGAATCCTTAGAAAGGTATGCGCATTGTGTGTTCTAGGTACGGAAGACAGAACTGAACTTCAAGCCTGACGGTGCTCTGGCAACAGAAAGAGGACACGAGGGAGTAAAGTCCAAATTCACAGTCCACTGCCAATGAGCTGGACGGGGCAGGGAGGAAAGACAAAAGTCAGTGACTAGGATCTTTTTAGCAAGTTGGAATTGAAATAGACAAGCAGGTTTACAGGGGAAGGTCATTACTGTAATCTGAGGCATGCTTTGCTGGATTTTGGCAGGCAGGGGTGACCGGTGTATGCTGGGAGCCAGAGAGAAGCTGAGTTCACCTCACAGTTCTGTAGGTAGTCAGAATATCTGCTGATAGCGGGGGCCAGCTGTACTAGCAGTCTGATCTTCTCTACTCTGAACACCCTGTTCCAGAGAATTCATGGCTTCCAACCCTGGTATATCTTGCCAGCAATGCTATGTGAATGGTTAGTCCACGACTAAGCTATAGGTCACCCAGAAGCCCCCAGGACAGCTGTCAGGAGGCCAAGACTCAGTACAAGGAGGCCACAGGGCGGACCACTGGGTTGCACATGTAATGTGGCTCTTGTGCTAACACTGGTACCCCATGTTTCTTGCCAGAGGCTGGAGTACCATTCCCTCATGGAGGTCCTTCACCTAGTGACCTTTATTGCCATCTTCATGGGAATCCCCACATACCCTTCCTGCAGTTGGGTTTTTACAGCCTCCAGGACCCTGCCTCCCACCCTGAGCTTCAGCATTCTGTCCTGATAATGTCATAGCCAGTTCTGGTTTTCGTGTTACTTGAGAGGGTTCTAGCTAGAGGACTAGTTGTGGGTCCCCATCTTGTACCTTTGGAATGTCCCTGAGTAGGTCAAAGCCTGCTCTCACATGAATCTGGGGAAGCCTGGCAGCCTGGCCTTGCCTCTCCAATGGGAGGGGAAATGAGGAGGGAGTAGGCTGTCTGAACTGCTTGATATGCCTGACAGTGGACTCTCTGCTCACTGACCCTGAGAACAGCTCTGTCCTTTATGGCTCCTCCTTGACCCTCTCCCGCCCTCCAACTGTCATTATCCTGGGGCGTTGGTTTCCAAACGTGACAGGTGTGGAGAATCACCAGGATACTAAAAAAAGAGGGCCCTATCTATCTCTGGAGATTCTCTTTATTTAACTAGTTATGAATGAGGCCTGGGAATGTGGCACTTTTGTACAGATATATGGAAAGTATCTATTGGAAGGATGAATAAGAGACTTAACTGAGTTGCTGAGGAAGTTTTATTTCCTTTTTTGTCCACCTCTGTGCTTTTTGGCTATTAATGGTCACAAATTGTTTTTAGAAATCAGAGAAAGAATAGATGTCATTACAAAACAAAAAACACATCCTGAAATGATCTTTCAGAAACAATTAATCCTCTTAAATTTGTTCCTCTTTTCCGCAGGGGGACTCGATCTCATCTTCATGCCAGGCCTTGGGTTTGACAAACATGGCAACCGACTGGGGAGGGGCAAGGGCTACTATGATACCTACTTGAAGCGCTGTTTGCAGCATCAGGAAGTGAAGCCCTACACCCTAGCGTTGGCTTTCAAAGAACAGATTTGCCTCCAGGTCCCAGTGAATGAAAACGACATGAAGGTAGATGAAGTCCTTTACGAAGACTCATCAGCATCTTAAATCTGGATTACTACAGCCGAATAATCAGTGTTTTATATGAGAGTAAAGCAAAGTATGTGTATTTTTCCCATGTCAAAAATTAGTTGAAATTGTACAACTAATTTTTGTGAATACAGACTGCATTTTAAAATTGTAATTATAAAGTACCTTATATAAAACTATCTTTAAAAACCAATAGAAGTGTGACTAGTAGAATATTAATTGAAATGGAGGCTATCAGCCTATGATTTTCAGCTTAACCTCCTGGTGTTAATGTGACAAGTTGATCTGTCTACTTTGCAACTTAAGTTAAATATTTATGAGGAACTGTGCCCTGACTGAGTGCGAGAGGAAGGTAAGCTCACTGGGAGTGGACACTGTATTTTATTATGTCCTGTTGTGACCTGGTCAGTCCTGGCAGGTGCATGGAGACTTGGGGACTGTTAATTGATTTGTTGGTATTTGCTTTGGATACAGAATTCCCTAAGAATATTATCTCACTTCATCATGACTTCCTTTACTCACTCTAGAATTTTATGTTGGACACTTTGTAGCTTTTAGTGGTTAGTAGAGGGAAACCTTTTATGATTTAAATACTTTCACTCTACTTATTAGTTACCATCACTGCATGTATCAGCACTTGATGAGTTTAAGATCTGGTATCTTATAAGTTAGAAATTATTTCTGTTTACTCATGGTTTCTGCTTTGGAAATGAAATTTGCTGTGGGTTGAAAGTTGGCAGATGGCACCACAGCTAGGGAGCAATAATTTTGTTGTGGGAATGATTTGGTCATCCTCAGAAACTCAGGAGTCTTAATAGACACGGCTCTCTTACTCACACCCCTTGTCCATCCTGTCACCAGGTCTTGTTGATTTTGCCTCTGAAATGCCTCTTAAATCTATTCTCTCCTTTCGATTGTCCTGTCACTGTTTTTGTCCAGCCTTTTAGCATTTCTAAGCTGGACTAGGCAAGAGTGTCACACCTGCTTCCCTTGCCTTCCATCTTGCCTCTTCCAGTTTATTTCTCAAGCTGTGGTCAAACTGATCTTAGAAAACACAAATCTAATCGTGCAGCACCCCTGACTGAGGTCTTTCAGTGGCTGATCAGAGCCTCCTGGGTAGCAAACAGATGGCTTCTGTTGTATACAAAGCTCCTTAAGAGAGGTCTCCTCATCTACTTTTTCTAGCCTCTTGTCTCCCCACTCTCATCTTCTCCTTCTGTAACACTGAGCACTGCAGGCTTCTTCTGCCCTTTGCACATTGTAAGCATGCATTTCTCTCTGTCTGAAATGCTCTTTCTTTTGTTCATCTAGAAGGCTGTTTACCCTTAAAAACTCAGCCATAGCATCATCTCTTCTGTGAAGTCCTCTGCTACTTTCCCAAGCAGAGTGAGTGTTCTTTCCCTTGTCTGAATGGCCCTGGCCATTGATCTGCTTATCATGTTGTCTTACGTATCAAATTATTTGTTGTCATATCTGTCCCCTTTACCGTACTGTGAGCTCCAAAGAAGAGAAGTGATCTTTATACTTCTTATGCTTAGTAGACAACTAGACATATAGTGTGTGTATGTGATAATTTTTTAATGAAATAATTGAATACATTGGAAGTGTTTCATTCAAAACAGTCATTCATTATTCTTTGGATAATAGCATAGATTTGATGTTTTATGCGCAAAAGTAAAAACATTTGAAAAATACATTTGAAAAACCCATATTAGGCTAAATATGGATTTGTACAATATAATATGTACGATGAGAAATGGGAAGGAAACCGAATTCTTACAAGCTATGAAGTCACATTATTGTACTGGTTAAAAATATTGGTAAGTATTATTTTGACTCTAAGGTTAAAATGAATGTTAATGTAGCTGACATGACTGTTGGTCTGAAATGGTTGAGCAGTAAAATTCCTGACCTGCTTCAGGTCTAGAAAGTTTAGTATTGTTGAACTCAGTCTATGTTATTCTTCTATTAAACGAGAGCATTTAAAAACCACTCTACCAGCTCCTCAAGTGCGGACAGAATGCCGAGTTAACTGGCCAGAAAATGCAGGGTGCTGAGATTCAAGAAAGTCAGAGGGCCATAGGGTCTCTGGCCTGGAAAGAGAAGCACTCCCTCATGATCAGTAATGCACATTATTTGTGCAGAGGGTATTGGAAGGGAGAAAATGCCCCTATGATGCAGGTGATGACAACACTGTAACTCTGATTAGGGCATACACAGAGGCTGAAGACAAGGCCTTAGACTCAGGAGGCAAGCACTTCAGTACAGGCTAACATGAGGCAAGAATGGTGAGCGTCTCAGATGAGGGGACAATCTGAGTAGAAGAGAAATAGCAACTAGATCTGAACAAAAACAATTTCAAGTATTGGGAAATTGGAAATATATCAGGGCCCCAACATAGGTCTGTGCTTGCTGTATATACTACAGAACTGTGCTTAATTTAATTAGAAAGTAAACTATATAAAGTTCTAGTCAAGAGCATTACACATTTAATCACAAAGTCTTACTAACTAGGAGATTGATAAATGTGTCTAGGCATGAGTGTCTTACTACGGAAGCTCAGTTCTTGGTCGCAGTTTTTTTTTTTTTTTTTTTCCCCTACAGAGATCATTGAAATTCAGTTGATCACACTGCTCTTTAGTCATATGTTTACATGCTTAATTTCTCCACTACCCTACGATCTCCTCAAAGGCAAATTCTCTGCCAAGTTCATGGTTTATTCCAGTATCTACCACCACAGACATGCAAAATAAAGAGCCAATAAATTCTTTTTTTTAATTGTTCCAGCAACATTTATTGAATATGTAACTTTATGTCTGTATAGAGTAAGTTCTCCAATATATGTGAATCTGTTTGCTGGCTTATTCATTGTCCCTTTGCTATGTTTTTCTGTCTCAGCACCAGTCCCAGATTGCTTTAGTTCTCACAGTTTTAAGTCTTGATGGCTACGAGGGTAAGCCTCCTTCCTAATTCTTCTGCAGGAATGTCGAAGAGCCAATAAATTCCTGATGAAGGAATGAACCAGTTTGAATATTGCCCTGTCTGTGCTGTGCGCTTGCTCATTTTTATGTTGGTTGCTGTTTGCTGCTGAGATTCTATCCCCTTGGCATTGTCTCAGGCTTGGATTATTCCAGAACAAGTTTTCTATTACTGCGTTGCGTTGTGTTGGGCAGTCCATATATGTGTGTTGCATTGTCTGTGCTACTTTTCCTTCTTAGTGCTCTCTTGTTTGCTTTTTATGGTTGTCTTCTTTTTTTTTTTTTTTTTTTTGAGACGGAGTCTCGCTCTGTCACCCAGGCTGGAGTGCAGTGGCTGGATCTCAGCTCACTGCAAGCTCCGCCTCCCGGGTTCACGCCATTCTCCTGCCTCAGCCTCCCGAGTAGCTGGGACTACAGGCGCCTGCCACCTCGCCCGGCTAAGTTTTTGTATTTTTAGTAGAGACGGGGTTTCACTGTGTTACCCAGGATGGTCTCGATCTCCTGACCTCGTGATCCGCCCGTCTCGGCCTCCCAAAGTGCTGGGATTACAGGCTTGAGCCACCGCGCCCGGCCTTATGGTTGTCTTCTTCCCTATTCCTGGATGGTCATAGACCTCCTGCCCTTTAATGGTAGTTTCCAATACCTATAAGCACCCACCCCAAATATGTTTATTTATATGCTTAAAGTAATAATAAATTTTTCTGAGTAATAACATACACATAAAATATACACACAAGAAGTATGAGATAATGTTGACATAGTATATATGATATATAATTTATAATATACTTGTTTATATATATTTTATACGTATATAAATAAGTATACTCATTTTTAAAAACAGCAATATGATCAAGAGCAGCATGAGATGATGTTGAAGTAGAATATATTCTATACAATTTATAATGAACTTTTTAAAAAGCAATGTTTTTTAAATAAAATTTTTTGGACATTTACTATTTTTGAAAACCTTATTTTAACACCTTTTGAATGATTCAAAATTCTGGTTCTGATTTCAGTTTATTTCAATATTTGGTCTTAAGGGCTGTTAGAGCTGAAAAAGATACCTTCTAGAGAAGCAGATTCAGATGGAAGGAAAACTATACCTACTAAAATTTTCAATCCTATTTACCAATTTTCCAAAGATAAATTTTTAAAAATTTAAATCTGGCTGGTAAATATCCATTTTCTTGATGTGAATATGTAGTTTTTACATGTTAATCAGAAGGTGCTGCACATTTACTTTGTTAATAAGTGGGGGCTGGAGCTCGAGGTTACAGTGAGCTGTGATTGCGGCACTGAACTCCAGCCTGGGTGACAGAGCAAGACCCCAAACAACAACAAAAACACATAAAAAACAAATAGGTTCGAAGCTTATTGAAATTCTTTCAAAGATTTTAAATCAAGTTAGAAAAGTTCTGCTTACAAGTTTTTTAGTTGTGTAGATGTGAAAGTGTTTGTAGATGTCACACTATTAATAGGTTTTGACAACACAGTCATATAATGATGAAAATATTTCCAAATAGCCATTTTTATATGCACTCTCCATATTACAAGTCTCTGAAAGTAGTTCCTTTCTGTCTCAGTGATGAAATATAACTTTCACTCTGAAAATTCAAATGAGATATATTTATTACTTTGAAGTTTACTAGTGGCCATTTGCAATCTCAGAAAGGTCAGAAAATGTGGAATACTTTCTCTTTGTGCAAAAAATACACATAAAACTAATATTTAAGTTTACAGCTTTATTTATTTATTTTTTTTTTGAGACAAAAGTCTCTCTGTGTCCCCCTCCCTCCGACTGGAGTGCAGTGGTGCAATCTTGGTTCACTGCAACCTTCGCCTCCCAGGTTCAAGCGATTCTCCTGCCTCAGCCTTCCAAGTAGCTGGAACTACAGGTGCCCGCCACCACGCCCAGCTAATTTTTGTACTTTTAGTAGAGACGGGATTTCACTGTGTTGGCCAGGCTGGTCTTGAACTCCTGACCTCATGATCCGCCCGCCTCGGCCTCCCAGAGTGCCGGGATTATAGGCGTGAGCCATCACGCCTGGCCAGTTTACAGCTCTTTTAAAAGTATTTTAGCTTGAGATGATCAGAGAAATTTAAGTGAATCAAAGATTGTTTGTGGGTACTTCCTATTGCATCCCAAAGAGTTGTAAATATTCAATATGTTAAAGGTCTTAATTTTATAAACTTCACATCAGTGATACCCTCAGCACATGGGATGTCTTGCCTGTGAATTATTTAGTAATGCTATTGCTCAATTCTTAATGTGGAATCTACCATCTCACATTTTTATATATATATATATTTACAGACAGGGCCTCTGTCTATTGTCCAGTCTGGAATGCAGTCGTGTGATCTTGACTCCCTGCCACCTCCGCCTCCTGGGTTCAAGCAGTTCTCCTACCTCAGCCACCTGTGTAGCCGGGATTACAGGAGTGTGCCATCATACCCAGCTAATTTTTGTATTTTTAGTGGAGATGGAGTTTTGCCATGTTTCTCAGGCTGGTATTGAGCTCCTGGCCTC